CTTTCCACTTCCTGTTCCCCAGAAACTGACATGATCAGGCTTGGTTCACTTGGGAGCCCTCTTGGTTAAGTTTGGTTCATGGTTTGGTTCATTGTTTGGTGAAAAACCACACTGAACTGCAAGCCCATCCCTATTCATTATTCCATGACATGTGCAATTTATTTCCTTAATAGTGATTCACCAAGGGATGCTGAACTGGCTATTTTTACAACATAATAGAACATATAGCAAGTGATGGGAAGGGTGGGAAAGGTGTGGGACAGAAAGGTCAATTGAAGACAATAAGAGAGAAGAAGCAGATGAGTGACCTGGAGGAAGAGGGAGGGCAATAAGACAAGGAAGAAATGAAAGATTTAAAAAAATGGATAATGAAATAAACTTTTGACATCGACTACTCTTGGCTTAACTACAGAGTCTATCTACAGAGACAGTGGTTTGAGGCTGGGTTCACTTATGCTTTCCTTTAGTCAATGTGACAGTTGCTAATGTTCCCTTTACTATATGTAGTAGTCAGTCAGTACCTTTATTGGCATAAGCAACAGAAAAATAAGTTTTTAACATAGAGAAAAAAGGAATCATCCATCACAAGATTTAACCTTATGCTCCCTAATCCTCATAACAATTAAAAGATACCTTGTTACTAAATAGGTAATATATGGGTGCTGGTCCAACAAAAGGAAACAAAACAAACCTCTAATCAGAATAGCTATAATAATAATAATAATAATATTTCAATTTATTGATCGCTCAATCCTGCAGAGCTTGCTGGCTCTGAGCGATTTACAGTTACTCATTTTTCATGAGGGACTAACAATGATTTGTGGGGTAAGGGAAGACAACATATATACATCTTAAATCACACACATTCACAGCCAACGAGGGTTTCGTTCAGATGGAGATGAGACGTGATCTGGAACGGCATTTTCCCGGCCTGGTTTGATGGCGTCAGCTTTCTCCAGACTCCTTCGAGTTGTAGCACGGCACTGCCACCGCCTGGCTGGAACGGCCCATTACAGGCAGTCTTCACACCGAAGGAGATCTCTCTAGGCTTTCCAATATTCCGAGATGGACTTCTGTTCACCGGCTAACACCGCTCCACCCCATGAGGGAGGGTCAGTGTGCCTACTCTCTCTAAGGAGTGGTGCCCATTTTATCTACTTGCCAAAGCTTTCGAACTGCTGGGTAGACGGTGAGCTGGGGACAGAGACTGGTAGCTCACACCAGTGCGGGGCTCGAACTGACAGCAGTCCTGTTCAGCTCAGATGTTAAACCAGAGGATAAATCCTCTGTGTCACCGATAATTGCTATGGCAATTATCAATATACAGAAGTCTCTGTTGTAAGGATCTAAAAACTTGGGATTCTTCTAATTTAAGAAGGGAATTAAAGGCGATTCCTATTGTGACCATTTAGCTGAAAAAGAATCAGACAGCATAAAATGGACATATCTAATAGATAATAGAATCTAATAGATTCAGCCCTTTAGGGAAGGCATAACCAAAAATTTAAGGTTAAGAGCCAAGCTCCAGTTTCTAGGAGGCACTGCCTGTCTCCAAGCACATGGCTGTATAGCTTGCACAGTTTGGGACCCCCAAAATGTGGTGCAGGAACATTGTCTGGATTTGCTCAACACGTTGATTGAAAGCGCTAATTAAAATGAGAATCCCATAATGTATTTGGGATGCCGATTTAGCATTTAAAAACATGAATAGCTCCAGGTACAAATTGGCTACTCTTCACATAAAAAAAGTTTTGTCCCATAGTAAGATACAAAAGCAAGCAGGAACAGGATAACTGTGTCATCCACAGTATAGGTAGTATTCTATTTCCTACATTCAAAGCAAGATCAAAAGAAACTACTATTTTTGTATAATTCTAAAAGCACTTTTGATATGTTAGATGTCTGACAACATATGTATACCCTGCATGTCAGCCAAAGACCCTAAACTGCTTTCCTTTTCAACATTTATGTGGAATCTAAGACAATCCTCCAAACTCCATCAATTCTTAGCAAAAGTGAAAGATGGCATTCGAGAATGGCATTTCAGCTCTTTGGGTAAAAGTAGAAGCTGAGCTTTCTACTTAAACTAAATAGCAAATGCAGAATACATATAAATAAAACAATCCATATGTCCATCTGACTTTGGCAAGCATAACTCATCCACAAATAAAGCTATGTACCTCAAAATCATCCACTGGCTTGAGGATACTTGCAAGAGTGGAAGTGCCAAAAATTGGACGAAATTGGAACATCCTCACCCCAGAAATCCCAAGAACATTGCATCCAGCTTTTTACAATGGAGTAATGGTTGTCTGTGGCATGTATAATTCATCTAAAACTAAAGCTAGCAACCTCAAAATTGGCCACTGGCTTCAATTTGATGACAGGAGCTGCTGTGGCCAAAACGAAGATCACTGCCCCACCCTGGCCTTGATTATATTTGACACCCTCAAATTTGAACTGGGATGTTCAGTGCATTGTGGCAAGTTCATATGTGTTTCATCTACAAATAAAACTACAAGTCCTCAAAAATGCCCGCAGGCTTGAGGACGATTGTAGTGGTTGCAATACAAAACATGAAATGAATTGGAACATCCTGGTGCATCCAATCCCCAGGAAACCCCACCACACCTCCACTTTTTGAATTTGAAGCAAAAGTTGTGTGTGGCAGGAAAAGCAAAAGCTTAAAAGGGTTAAGGTAAAGGTTTCCCTTGCTCGAAAGCCAGTCGAATCCAACTCTAGGGGGCAGTGCTCATCTCTGTTTCTAAGCTAAAGAGCCACCACTGTTCAAAGATATTTCAGTGGTAATGACACCTTGACACTGAGGCACACGGAATGCTGCTACCTTGCCACTGCAGCAGTACCTATTTATCTACTTGCAATTTCTTGCTTTCAGACTACTAGGCTGTCAAGAGCTGGGAGCTCACTCTGTCATATGGCACTAGGTCCTTGAACCGCTGAACTACTAACCTTCTAGTCTGCAGTTCAGTATCTTAACCTCTGAGCCACCATAGTCCATATAACAAAAGCTAGGGGCCTCAAAATTGGCCCCTATCTTTAGGATGATGATGGGAGTTGCTGTCCCCAAAATGAAGAGAATCAAAATATTCTGGCCAATTTTCAGAACAACTCTCAGTTGACTTTGGAAGGCATAACTAATTTTTATAAAAAAGCTTGGAGCCTCAAAATCAGCCTCTGGATGATGATGATGAAAGATACTGCATTCAAAACAAAGGGAACTGGAAAATCCTGGCCCAGGTTATGTCCAGACCATTCCCATGGCTGCCAACAGATGGAGCCCGGGAAAGGCAGGGTTTGATAAGGGGAATGATTTCAGGAGGGTATAATGCCATCAAGTTCAACCTCCAAAGCAGCCTTTTACTCCAGGAGACTTAATCTCTGTTGTCCGGATGTCCATTGTAATTCCAGGAGGTAGTCAAGCCCCATGTATATGCTTAAGTAAGGCTGCGGTCACATGGAACATTAGCCACGCTACAGAGACGGAAGATAGGCAGATTTTCCGGGTGCGATCACACCACCACATCTGGGAAGCATAGAGCTCCCATGCCGAACCTGAGTCTCCCCGCCGAAGATGCGGGGTAAAAAACTAGTACCTCCAAGGTACTAGTTTCTGGAAACCGCGGGGCAAGGGCGGGCGCCTGATCGCGTTTCTGGTGGAATCCCATGGCATCCAGCGCCTGCCCATGTTCCGTCACGAACAGGTTTGTTTTTTTCAAGTCTCCACCAGATGCGCACAAGTGCCCAACGGTGCATGCGCACAAAGAGGCCCCCTCCCATTGCAGCCAGGCTTGCCACCTCTGGAGGGTCGCTATGGCCACTGTCACGCAGGCTGTTAAAGCAGCTGTGACGAGGGGGCCCCCTCCCCCTCCATTGGCTATGCCTTGGAGCTCTGTTGGGGTCCAGAAGCATCTGTTGCCCTCTCCGGTAAGCCCACCACCCGCCTTCGAATGTGCAGATATGATTGCTCAGTCATGCGTATGCACAAACTTCGTTTTTTAAAAAAATCCATCCGGTTTGCCAGGGAAGCGGCACCTAGCGATTGCTGGTGTGATCGCACCATGCCGCTTCTTTGTCACGCTGCAGGATCATCATGTGATCAGCACCTGCCCCCTAACCACGGGACCTCCACAGGACCTCGAAGGGACGTCTGATCGCACAACCATGCGTTATTTTCCTCAGCCACGCTTCCCCCCCGCATTTTCCGGCCCGTGTCCCTCTGATTCATCCCCTTACAATAATACTTAGAAAGATTTCCAGTGAAAAATAAAAAATAGCAAGCCTAATGGGTTCTCTTAATATTAATAATAGATCGATTGTAGGTAACCATAGACAATGGAATGACCTGCAGAACTACAGTTAAATCATGATTTTTCACAGTATCAGAATTGAGTCACATTCTGTTTGCTTCTTTGTTTCAAGTTGAGACTCTCGGTTAGCTGTGTGGATCTCATCCATCTCTAGGAATAGCATGGCCACCTGGTATCTCAAACATGTCAATTCACTCTGTTAACATCCTGAGGCCTTGTTGTTATGCAGCTTCTTTTTTTTCTGGGTCAGATTTAGCCATCCAAATACCTAACCTTCAGGTAAGTTACACCGATAACACAGAAGCATGTTCATTTCTCTTTTTCTGATGCAAGTGATGTCTCGTTCAGCATACTTCTCTGGAGTGATGATCTCAGAGGTGTAATTGTCTCTAATTATTAGGAATCACCCACTAAATTGCAAATTGTCATATGCATGTTTTGAGGCCCAATGAATTCCCACTATAAATCTCAAAAAGATAAATGCATATATAAAATTTCCCTTTGCCCTTCAAGGTTGGAATTATGGACAGGGAACATGATTAGATGGTAGACAAAAGAGAAAGATTCTGAAAGAATATTTGCTTCCCAATGGTAGACATATTTCTGTTTCTACTGTTATTCATGTGGCTAGAGCTACCTGCAGCTATGGACAAGGTGTGCACTATTTGTACCATGACTGATCCTTTCCAGTTCCCATATGAGTATTCTCAGAGAGGTGACATAATCATTGGAGACATTGTGGCTCAGTATGGATGTATTTTTGATCAAACCACTTACTCTGAAAACCCTAGAACTATGGCGGTAGATGGACTTATGTAAGGAAATAACTTTGTTTTGAGTATTAGGCTTTAAGTGAAAGTGGCCATGTTGTGCTTTACCTTTAAAAATAACCTTGTTGCTCATTGCAGACAGGACCTAAGAGCATAAGAAACAGTCACAGTCAAGTGCCACACACAGCAGCAGAAGATGGAAGAGATGCTGGAGCAGAAGAATCACCTTGCCGTTCTCTTCAGCAACCCAGGAAAATGTTTTCAGAACCAGGAGAGACTGGACTCTGGGTTTTATGTTTCACCTAGATAAGACTGAGCACAATCCAGATATAGTAAAGCATAGGGTGCTCAATCTTCCACTGAAATAAGAGGTCAGAAATAAGGGGTCTAAGCTGAGTTAGTGTGAGCTAGCTCACAGTTCTTTTAGCCTCCGGCTCACACATTTTTGTCTTTGCTCAGGAAGAAGGGCTCCAGAGCAAACAAATTTATGCAGTAGACAAATCGTTCGCTCACAACTTTAATGCCAGTAACTCACAAAGTAGAATTTTTGCTCACAGGACCCCACAGCTTAAAGGGAGCACTGGTCAGAAACAGCTTAACACTTCTATTTAAATCAATGATATTTGTATATGTTGATCTTTGCTGTATCATGCCCATGAATTTAATCTTAAAATGGGCAGAGCCTGACAGACTCATCCTGTTGGTTGAAAATAGCAAGGAAAGAATTCATACTTGAAACTAAACTAGCAAGCCAACAATGTTTGTTTTTAATCAGAAGTAATGATTTTACTTGCCCAATCAGCTCTCGCTCTCTGTGCCATCCATTAGAGAGGCATGTTCTTCCTCTGCTCAGATGCAGGGCTTCTCAGTTATGACCCCAACATGAAGCTATTGCTTCCAGTCTTCAGCTGGTTCTATTGATTCTATGCAGCTGATGCCTGTGATTGTTGTCGGGTTCTTCTTGGTTTCCCATTGTGGGTAGGGGATGAGTTTAAGTATTTTACTCTTTTATTCCACTGCTTTGCTATCATGTTTTCCATTTGAGCCTCTTCTGAGAAACATAGGAAGGTCCCGGTCACATGGGAGGATTTGCCCCACAAGGGGGACGGATCAGGGGTGCATCAAACGGGCGCAATCACACCACAACATCTGGGAAGCAGAGCACACCCATCCCTAATCCATCCCTTCTGGCCGAAACCGCGCATCAAAAAAAAAATCCTAGAAAAAACTACTACCTACCTGATAATCCACATCAAGGGCAGCCGTGGGATCGCCAGCGTGCCCATCTCCGGCAGCATGCGAGGCCCCCGGCCAAACTGCGCAGGCATGCACATGTGCAGTGGGCTGCCTCGCTCTCCGTTCTGTGGCTTCCCCCCCCCGGCATCTGATCATGCTGGGGAGCAACTGCACGGCGGCTCGGGAGATATATCTGATCCCGCCGCCGAGCGCCTCTTTTGATGCGGCTCAAAAAAGCTGTGCTTTGGCTGTGTCTTTTCCCCCATTGTGACTGGGGCCAATAAAAATATTTTAATACATATGATTTATCTATTTCTGGTTTTCATATTTTATATGAAGTTGGTTGAAGATATGTACCACTGAAATACATCTAAAACTTCAGGAGAGGATTATTGATATACTGAATATCTTTTCTATATTTCTTCCTTTTAAAAAGTGGAAGAAAGAATAGCAAGAAGGAGAAAAAAACCCTAATCCTGCAACTAAATAGAATAAAATTGGGGAAAAGGTATACATAAAGTAAAAACAAAAGTACAACAAACAACAATGGTGACAATTCTACACCTAATTCCCTATAAAAGTTTTTAAATATCTAAAAAAGGTCCACACTCAATTGTCTATATACCATGTTTTAAATATTAACAGAGTCTAAGGTCCTCAATCCATTCATTTACCAGAGGTGGGCATTAACCTTCTGGTGTTGAAAAATGATTCTTTTAGCTGTAGGGCATGGAGAGTCCATTTTCACTGTCCATTGGTTAGCCTACAAGAAATGGGCAGAGAGTTTAAAAGTATGGGGGGGCAACAGTGGGAGGGCTTCTACTGTACTGGCCCCACTGATAGACCTCCTGATAGCACCTGGTATTTTTGGCCACTGATCCAACTTTGGCTTCTCTTATGTACATAAGCATTTTCAAAAATAATTGAATATTCTCATACAAAATTGATATGAGTAATAAAATCTAAAAGTTCAATAGATGATTCTTGAAATGCTGAATATCTCTTTCTTTTCATAATATAAATCTGCCTTTAGGATTTCACCAAAGATCTACCAGCATGTCCTGTCATTTGTATTTGCTGTGAAGGAGATTAATGAAAACTCCAAGATCTTACCCAATGTCAGCCTGGGGTTCCAGATCTTTGATGACTATTTGAATGCCAGGATGACTCATCAAAACACCCTGAAGCTTCTGTCTTCCTGGGAAAGAATTGTCCCCAACTACAACTGCAACAAGACAAAAAGTGTGATAGCTGTGGTTGGGGGACTGAACTCTGAAATGGCCTTTCATATCTCTACTATTCTAAACGTTTACAAGATCCCACAGGTAAAACAAGTTTTTACATCTGTCCTATCCTCCTATATCCTGAGGACTAAGGAAGTGATTGTGTGTGTGTGTGTGTGTGTGTGTGTGAGAGAGAGAGAGAGAGAGAGAGAGAGAGAGAGAGAGAGAGAGAGATGCAGACTGTATATGCAAGAGAATGAAGTGGTAAACTTTTCAGGTGGTATGATTAGGTGTACCATTTCAATAGAGAGGAGGAAATCTAATATTTAATATTCCTCCAAATGAAAAAAAAACCCTGTAGACTATCAGAAAGAAAGTTTTCATCCTAGCATTTTGATTGCTGTGATTGTTCTCAATTTACTGGGAAGTACTCATCTTGCAGAATTTTGAGAAATGTAGCCTCCTCAGCTGTACAATGAATTCTACAGTCCTTTTTACCACCTCAGCAGTGTACTGCCTCAATATTACCTCCTCCTGCAATTCTATCAATTCACTCTCTCTCGCTCTCTCTCCCCCCCCCTTCATAACCTGAGGCTGAGGAAAGATGCATCTCTCCCACTTTAAGACCTCCACAGTATATATACTTGAATGGGTTGATGGAAGGGTTCTGAGGCTTCCTTTCTGATAGGAGTAACATATAAGAAATGTAAATAATCTTGGAAATGATGAACATGCCCTGCTCAAGGGAGATGGCAAAATCAATGCTCATGTACTGATGTGTATTTGTGACTAATTGGGATGGTTCATGCCAGTCAAAGACAGACTAAAATTAAAAAGCTCAAGGACAGAGGAGAACTAGAGATTCGTGAGTTCAATTTGCACATGTAAAAAAACAAAACTGAAATGTTTCAAAACATGCAAACTTGTTCACGAGTAGGGCTTCTGATTTGTACGCAGAAGGTCCCAGTTTCAATCCTCAGCGTCTCCAGTTAAAAAGAGCAGGTAGTAGGTAGTGTGAAAGACCTTTGCCAGAGATCCTGAAGAGCAGCTGCCAACCTGAGTAGACATTACTGACCTTGAGGGACCAGTGATCTGAGTCAGTATAAGGCAGCTTCATGTATTTGATGACATCCCAAGTATGGAAGCCCTTTCATGCCATGAGAGCTATAAGTTATGCATGTTTCCCAGGAATGACTTACACATTCCTGATTTTTTAAATACAGATATCATGCAGTCCTAAACAGTGTTAAACTGTTCCAAATTCATTGAAGCCAGTGGTCTTAGAAGGTTATAATTCAGTTTAGGATTTTTAGTACTAAAGATTTATCCCCGGATTTCAACTGCTAATTGGGATAACACATTGTAACTCATTACTAATGATCAGTATCATCATAAACATTAATTTGTTTTGCTTCAGATTGCCTACTGTGTCTTTGCTCCAGTGACTAATGTGAAAATTCAGCTCCCTTCCTTCTATCGCATGGTCCCCAATGAAGATTTTCAGTTCATGGGAATTGTCCGGCTCCTTATGCATTTTCAATGGACGTGGGTTGGGATCATGGCAACGGATGATGATCAAGGTGAAAAATTTGTGCATACTTTGACACCTATGCTTTTCAAACATGGGATCTGTGTAGCCCACACTGAAAAGACACCAGCAATATATGCATTCAAGTCATTACAATCTATTCTACCCGTGACCACTTCTCTTGCCAATTCCAGTGTCAGACTATTTGTTGTAAATGCAGACCGCCAGACCATAAATGCTTTGATATGGTTGATATATTTTAATGAAATAATTGGAGGGATTACCAAAATATTTATGGGAATGGTATGGATTATGACAGCCCACTGGGATTTCTCATCACAGACGGAGCTCAGGGAATTTGACATGTACATCTTCCATGGTGCCTTATCCTTTACAATTCACTCAAATCAGTTATTGGATTTTACAAAATTCCTTCAGAGGGTACGTCCTGGCTTACAACAGGAAGATGGTTTTATCAGGGTCTTCTGGGAACAGGCATTCAACTGCACATTGTCTGATTCTGATGAAAAGAAGGGAAAGAATAATGAGGCTTGCACAGGAGAAGAGAGGCTGGATAGCCTTCCTGGAATTATTTTTGAAATGACCATGACTGGCCAGAGCTATAGCATCTACAATGCGGTCTATGCCATAGCACATGCATTACATAAGATGTACACATCCAGACTGAAACGCAGAGTAATGGTGGGCAGAAGGAGATGGGATCTTTCAAACCTACAACCATGGAAGGTAATGTTCCATGACTTTCAGAGCAGACCCATTGTCCTGAGTTGTCCTCTAGTGTGTGAACATATCGGATGCAGGGAGTGCAGCATTGCATCCAAATTCTGACAGAGTATTTCCCTTTCTTGAACCTCTTGAGTCTTGAATCTCTCTTGTTTCTTAAAGTTGCCCATAGAAGCTGTAGGTATCACTGTAGCCCAAAATCACATTGGGTGATTTCTCACGAGAGCTGCCTCACAGCACAGCGCCGTTTGCCTCGACACAAACGTGTCAATTTCACACCCGAAGCTCCGGGGCTGCATTTTGACTCGGGGCTTCGCCCGATTTCTTCCGCAGTTTCGTGATCCTGGTTTTTGAAGATCACCTACTGCTAGCCAGGCTCCCTGGGCCTAGTAGGCCTCTTGTGGCACAGCCCAGATAATGACAAAGACCAACAAAGCTTTATTTGTGGTATGAACCTTTGTGTGCGTGCAACCTTTTTCAAATACTTTGGAATGGAAAGTAACAATTCAAACTTATAGACAGGCTGAACAGCAAATGATTAAGATGTTTTAAGATATGCGAAGACAAAACTAAATAACAAGCTAAGCTGATAAGGTCAACAGTTGTTTTGATTTAATTAAAAGGGCGAAAACAGTGAGGCAAAAATATGTCAAAATAGGAGATAAATGTGTGAGGTATCCTTTTTAATTGTGAGAAGTAAACTGCTATGCTCCATTCATCCCCTTTCAGGCATGGAGGCAACCAACAGCATTTTTTTTTCTTTTTTAGGTGTCAGCAAGACATTCCAATATCCCTTGCATTATATTCACTATTCTAATATATTATTCTGAACAAGCAATACACTAAAATAGATAGGATCTATAGTCCTTTTTGTTGAGAATACATATGTGAGGACTGAATGAGTTTAGCATATGTAATGAGATAAGAAACCAATATCCCTGGAGTCCTAGGGAGGTTTTTCTTCCAAGTGTTGTAATAACTTGTAATTCAGCAATTTTCCATTCTGTTCCTGAAGATCCTTTGCAATAAAACAACTACTTTGAGGTCACCCATTGAATGTCCTGGAAGGTTGAGATGTTTTCCTGCAGGTTTCTCAGTCTTGTGATTTCTGATGTCAGATTTGTGTCCATTCATCTTCTGCTGTAGGGTTTGTTCTCATTCCATGTGATTCTCATTCCATGTGATTCATCTCAAAAACATCCATTTAATTTGTGTGTATGTGTATAAATCAAACACTTGACTCTTTGCTTTTGCTTCATTATCTCTTTGGTCCTTCCCACACTTGGATCTCATTCCTGGTTTTATTAGAGTTCAACTCACAACACAATACCTTGCACTTATCCCAGGTTATAACAGCATCCGTTTATCCAAGAACAAGTGTGGAGTGAAAACGGGGTGACCTCAATGTAATGTGGGGGGGGAAATAACCTGGGATAATTAAAGTGGTGAACTCGAGTGCAGTATAGAATGTAAGTTCGGGGAAACGGTTGAACCAGGATTTAAGGTCTAGTGCAGAATCACTTTCTGGAATAAACACATGAAACACCAACAAACTGTTATAAGTCCAAGGTGGTGGTCTTCACTTTAAAAAAGTAGTTCCAAAACATTCCATTGGCCCATGAGGTGGTGTGAATTAGAACAAGTTAAAGGACTTCTTCTTCTTTTTTTTTAACATTTTTATTAATTATACAAAGATACAAGTAAAACATTAAACATAGAACATACAAAGAAATTCAAGTAGTTACTATTCATGAAACCAATAAATGAACAGGTATAAGAACAATTATAACCATACAAAGAACATAATATCCTGGAATTTTATTTACTTCTATTCTACATTGGACCCCACATCAAAAAGCTGTAGGAGAAACAAAATCAAACCTTTGAAATAGCTCAAAGCCTTTTGCTTGTAAACACTCAAGTGATTATTCTAAATTTTTGATCACTTTGTTAACCTGTGCATTGTCAATCTAGTTTCACCCTTTCCTGAGAAGCATCTCATTTAACAACACTGCTGGAGACCTGGTATTTTTTAATGAGAATGGTGAAATAGCATCCGGATTTGATATTATAAACTGGGTTACTTTGCCAAACAAATCCCTTGCGAGAGTGAAAGTTGGAAGGATAATTCCACAGGCTTCACCAGGCAGAGAACTCATCATTAATGAAGAAGCCATCACATGGCCTAATATGATGAATCAGGTGCGATCCATATCATGTATCTAATTCTGAACTTCGCCCCAGGTATGAATTAAAAAATGAGGCCATGTCCTCTAGAAGCAATGTCTGTATCAATGCAGACATTGCAACTTTAAAAATGTCTCATAAGTTTACGTTGTGAGATCTTTGCTGCCATTTGAGCTTCCTTAGCTACCCTGAACCACATTGTTGAGGATTAGTTTCTGCTGCAGGGAGGAAGAGTGTGAAGAAGCTTGGGAGATGGGAAGGAAGAAAGAAGTCATCGAAGAAGAGGGGCATGGGTGACTGCTGGGGGAGGAGAGAGGAAAGGGGGGAAAGTGAGGGCAGAGGAGGGAACTGTTACTCCTCAAATTTCCTGTCTTCTGGTTATAATAACAGTAACTGGGATTTTCCCCCAAATGCTTATCCTCCATTATCCTTTTCACAGTACTGTTCAAATTCCATAAAGAGTTTCTCAGCCATTTTACTTAAATAGGAAATGACGTGAAATTCACTGTGTCATTAATTTGCCAATTATTTTCTCATCTTTGAATGATGGACTTTTAAATCCAAGTTGAAGGACCATTTCTATGAATTGAATTGCTGAAATCAACAGGCTTTTAAGAGAACCTAGCTGATCAACCTGAAAAACTTTTTTTCCTTATCTTTCTTTGGCTAGGTGCCTCCCCTTGCTGAGTGCAATGATCACTGTCATCCTGGTTACAGAAGAAAGAAGGCTGAGGGGGCACCATTTTGTTGCTACAGTTGTGTTCCATGTCCAGATGAGAAGATCTCAGATAAGAAAGGTAGGAGACATAATGTAAAGTGTTAAAATATGAGACAAAGGACCCACAGCCAAAATCTTTCCACTTCTGATAAGTTCATTGGGGTGGATTTAAAATTGTGCCTGGGAATTCATATCTCTTTCATTTTGGTAATTCATTAACAAAGGAAGTGTTTTATTATTGGGGGTCCTTCTTTTCAGGCTAATGCATCTATGTTTAACATTAAAATCTAGGAGAAAATGGAAAGGAAAGCTTCCAAATCATAATACAGATAGCACCATGGCCACTTAGGAGGAGGCAAAGTAATGAGGCAAGAGCATTTGGTGGCCAAAGGTCCCTGCCACACAGCAGGAAAAACACCAGCCAAAGTGCGGCTAATTAGAGCCACACCAAAATAGAGACGCTGCGGCGGGATCCCATGGTTCCCCTAGCCACAGCACCGTTGCTCCCCAGCACGATCAGATGCCGGGGAGGAAGACACGATCAGGAGGGGGAAGCTGCCGAACTGCGCATGTGTGAGCATGTGCAGTTCAGCCGGGGGCCGGGGATGCGCCGACAGAAGGATGCGCTGGCAATCTCACGGCTGGCCGTGATGTGGACTTCCCGGATGAACCACCTCGGTAGGTGGTTCATTTTTGCTGCGGGTTTTCGGCGGAAGGGCCGGATTGGGAACAGGCGCGCAACACTTCCCAGATGTTGTGGTGGGATCACACCCAGTTGCTGCGCCCCCGGCCCGGCCCTCTCCCGGCCCAAAACCTCTCGTGTGACCGGGGCTAAAGTGAGCCAAAGCATCTGGGAAGGGAGGCAAGAGGAGGAGGCCTTGAGGTAGATTTGGTTTGGAGAGCTACAGGCAAGCCAGAGAGAATAGAAAAGAAGGGGAAATATGCATGGCAGGTCAGGCATAAGGAGGAGAGTGAAAGCCAAAGTCCTTTTCTATCTCTTTCAAGATTGGAAATCCCACATGTATGCAATCCTAATTGGTTCCATTTACAGCCAGTCTAGAAAGCTCAGACTCTCCCTCTCTCTTCCCTAATGAATAAAGATTAAGCCATTAGGATAATTTTGGTTCCCTTGAAAAAATGAAGCTAGTTAACTCAGAGAAGGGCAAGAATGTAATAATGAAAAAAAAAGACAGGAAAGACATGGGCTGTGGTCGCACACACTAAATAATCCACTTTCAACCCACTTTCAATGCACTTTTGAATTGGGTTTTGCTAGTTCACAGAGTAAAAATCCAGTTGGAAAGTGCATTGAAAGTGGATTGAAAGTCGATTATTTAGTGTGTGTGACCACAGCCATGGTGTTTTTTGTTATGGGCTGTTTAGAGGGGGAATTTGTTTCATTTTCATGTTAATTAAAATAATTATGGAACACTTAACTTTTTGTAATTATTATGATTCTTAACTAAAGAAATGGCCAAGTGTAGTTGGATCCAATCATCTGTTCTGTTGTTGAAAAAGAGGGATTGGGGTCCTCTTTCCCCATAAAAAACTATTTTAGGAGTCATGGGACCTTTATGGGGAAAAAGCTACCTGAGACAGGAGCTTTGGTAAAGAGGAGATTATATGCAATTGAGTGGGAAAGTGAGTTGGATCCATCCCATTCCGTCCATCACCTCAAATAACTGAGAGTAAATTGTGCTTTTTAAAGCTTTCTTTCTTTGTTCATAATCTAATCTCCATTGTAGGCACAACCCCTAGCTGTCATGCAGAAAGTTTAAGCAATGGAGAAAGACTGGGGATTTTATCCAGCTGCCAAGTTTCATGAAAATCAGAACATGAATCTTGCAATGCAGGCACATTTTTTTGTTCATTTCATTAGAGACTTGGCAATAGTTTGTCAGGTGGTGCTACAGACTCATCTAGTTCCATTGGTTTGTTTAAAACTCCAGTTTCTTCTTCCTTTCCTCAGATTAATTGTGAAGGCCATGTTCTCCCTCAGCAATCCCAGAACATCTGGGGTCAGAGTGTTGAGAAATGGACTAATATTTGTATTGTTGTGGACTGATGTTTGCTGACACACCATATGAATTGTGCACACACTGACCCATAGGCAGAGAAACGTTGTTTGAATCACTTGTTGTGAAAATACACATAGCTGCACTGAGCTAAAAACTATTTTAGGAGTCATGGGACCTTTATGGGGAAAAAGCTACCTGAGACAGGAGCTTTGGTAAAGAGGAGATTATATGCAATTGAGTGGGAAAGTGAGTTGGATCCATCCCATTCCGTCCATCACCTCAAATAACTGAGAGTAAATTGTGCTTTTTAAAGCTTTCTTTCTTTGTTCATAATCTAATCTCCATTGTAGGCACAACCCCTAGCTGTCATGCAGAAAGTTTAAGCAATGGAGAAAGACTGGGGATTTTATCCAGCTGCCAAGTTTCATGAAAATCAGAACATGAATCTTGCAATGCAGGCACATTTTTTTGTTCATTTCATTAGAGACTTGGCAATAGTTTATGTCAGGTGGTGCTACAGACTCATCTAGTTCCATTGGTTTGTTTAAAACTCCAGTTTCTTCTTCCTTTCCTCAGATTAATTGTGAAGGCCATGTTCTCCCTCAGCAATCCCAGAACATCTGGGGTCAGAGTGTTGAGAAATGGACTAATATTTGTATTGTTGTGGACTGATGTTTGCTGACACACCATATGAATTGTGCACACACTGACCCATAGGCAGAGAAACGTTGTTTGAATCACTTGTTGTGAAAATACACATAGCTGCACTGAGCCTGCATTTCATGCTAATGAAGCACACAGCTACCTAGCCTTAGGGAAGAAGCACATTTCGCCATTGTCAGCATGAAACAACAGCTAAGGAGAGATAATCCCCCCATTGATGGACTGGTGAGATACATGTAGACAAACGGATCTGCTCTACATCTGAATTGCCATTTCCTGTTGAATGTTTATCTGATTGCCTGGGAAAGCCAGTATCTATCTGCACATCAAGGAGAATAGTGACGCTGGGACTTCACACCTCCACAGATGGCTTGTCCTGTGTTAGAATATAGTATTTCAATATTGGCCCAACCTTAAAGGTAGTGCCCCTTACTACATGCACCAATAAGATATAGGGATGGGACGGACTTACAGATGGGTGGATCTAGGATGGCAAGGTTGCCACCTGCCCCAAAGATTGGCACTATAAAAGCCAAGGACCATACGCTGGGTCCTTTGCTAGCCGCTACCCCTCCTGCCTGCTTTAACGCCCCTTCTGCCCAGCTCGCTAAAACCCTTTGTCTTTACCTGACCTCTTGGTGTGTGCAGCCAAAGAGGTCCATGCCCTGCTGGTTGGTTCTGGCAGAGTGTGATTAGAAGTAGATTGGCTAACAGGAGCATCTGGGGTCTGGGGTCAGATCATCACTGCCCCCAACCAGTAAACCTAAAACAAGTGCATCTTGCTGTCTCCCTAGAGGAACAGTTGCAAGGGAAGGGCATGCTGACAATGTGACAGAATAGAGGAGGATCTCATGTCTTTTAAAAGCAGGAGCTGTTACAAGACATGTGACCCTGCATGGAGTGTGTACTACATACACTGCACTCTATACAAGGGCCGAGTGAGAAGTCAGGGATACACAAACTACCCAGCAGCACCCAGCACCAGGGATGGGGGTTGGGTAGGAGGAAGAAAGCATGAGTGAACAAACCCCTTTCTCTTCCCACTGAGGCCTCAGAAGGCAGTGGTGGAGCAGGCTGAAGCTGATGCCCAGGGCTGGAGGAACAGGCAAAGCAAGACCACCACCCCAACCCCTGTCATCACTTAATTCCTTGTCATCTGTCTGAACAAGGTCTTTGCTCCTCACTCTTAGCACCAGACAGTAGCAACTAGAGGGGCACAAGTATAATCCTCAACTAATTTTTACACACATAGGTGAAGATTATTCCACAAAGTTATTCCAAATCTGGAAGTGGGAGCCATCCCAAAGAGAAAAAAGAAGATCCTGCAAACTATGAGTGTATCATGTAACTATGTAATGGAGGGGAAAATCTCAGAAAATATAAATGATACAGTAGCCCAAGCTAGCCTGACCTTGTCACATCTTAGAAGCTAAGCAGGGTTGGCACTGGTTAGGATGTGATAAGAGGTAACCAAGAAAGACTAAGGACACCATGGAGAGGTAGGCAAAGGCAAATAATCTCTGGATGTCTCTTGCCTTGAAACTTCAAAAGGTCCCCTTAAGTCAACTATGACTTGACAGCGCCCTCCCCCCCAAGCCAATTTCTGTGTACCGGCTTTACCCTTAAGAAAGCAGATATTTCAAGCCCATTAATAACTTTTATGTAGAACTGATTACATCATAATAAGGGTATGGGGGAATGAAGCCAGCATTTGTTCTGTTTTTTTCAGATTTGGATGACTGTTTTAAATGTCCACAAGACCAATATCCAAACAAGAACCAAGATAAGTGTATTTCCAAAGCTCTACATTACCTCTCCTTCAGAGAAACTTTGGGGATCATTTTAGCCTCCTCGGCTCTCTCTTTTTCTCTGATCACAACTTTGGTCCTAAGAATTTTTATCCAGAACCAAAACACTCCAATTGTCAAAGCCAACAATCGGAACCTCACCTATTCTCTTCTTATATCACTGCTGCTTTGTTTCCTTTGCTCCTTACTCTTCATTGGCCAGCCTCAGACAGTGACCTGCTACTTACGGCAAACTGCTTTTGGCATCATCTTCTCAGTGGCTATTTCGTGCATGCTGGCCAAAACCTTCACCGTGGTTTTGGCTTTTGCAGCTACCAAGCCAGGAACCCAGATGAGGAAATGGGTTGGGAAAAGACTGGCAACCTCCATTCTCATCTCTTGCTCCCTCATTCAAGTCAGTATTTGTGCAGTGTGGCTCTGTACTGCTCCTCCATTCCCACATTTTGACATGGACACTCTGGCTGGAGAAATCATAGTGGAATGCAATGAAGGGTCCGTCACAATGTTTTATTTGGTTCTGGGGTATCTGGGATTTCTGGCTACTGTCAGTTTTACTGCGGCTTTCTTAGCCAGGAAATTGCCTGACAGGTTCAATGAAGCCAAACTGATCACTTTCAGCATGTTGGTGTTTTGTGGTGTTTGGCTGTCCTTTGTTCCATCTTATCTCAGCACCAAGGGGAAGTATATGGTAGCCATGGAGATCTTCTCTATCTTGGCCTCTAGTGCTGGACTGCTGGTTTGTATCTTCTTCCCTAAATCCTACATAATTATTTTGAAGCCTGAGTTGAATAGTAGGCACCAACTAATAAAATATGAGTGCAATCTAAAGAATGATTTTATTAAAGACATTTGTGAGAGTTAGGAAGCTCTATGATACCACCAAGTAATGACAATAAAATGCAGTGCTGAATATTGGCATAGTAATGGTGTTAGCCGAATTGCTTTTCATTTATAGCAATTGCCAATTATAGATGGTTTTTTGCCAATTTATACCAAGGTCCTGATCCCACCAAGAGATCAGGACAAAGAAGGCTGATATGTCTGAAATTTGCAGGTTTCTTAAAAACTGGGACTATAATTGCATTAGTCCATGTTGTAGGCATATGCCTTGTTAAATTTACAATGGTAAAAAAGTGGCCAGGGGAGGTGCCCAGCATTCAGGACCAGCTTTTAAGATTTCCGCAGGTATCACATCAGGACCAGGGGTTTTCCCTGATTTTAGTTTGTCAATAAGAGAAACAACTTTGTCAGGAGTTACAGGGGGGCATTCAGAAATATCATCCAAGACAAGGTTGGTAATATAGGAAGCACCAGGAGAAAGAAGAGGAGGAGGAGGAGATTGGATTTATACCCCGCTCTTCACTACCCAAAGGAGTCTCAGAGCAGCTTACAAACTCCTTTCCCTTCCCCTCCCCACAAAAGACACCCTGTGAGGTAGGTGGGGCTGAGAGAGATCTGACTGAAACTGCCCTTTTTCAAGAACAGCTGTGCCAGAATTATGACTTGCCCAAGGTCATCCAGCAGGTGCAAGTGGAGGACTGGGGAATCAAACCTGGTTCTCCCAGATTAGAGTCCACACACTTAACCACTACACCAATTTAAAAAATAAAATAAAAATGATGGTACCATGTAGAAGGAGAAATGACAGAGGTGCTGGATATTCCTGGTCTGAATGCTCTGTTAACTAATGCCCAAAATTGCTTTGAATCATTGTGGGAGATAGAAGTTAGCAGTCACTCTCACTGTTTTTCGACAAAGGCATTCCTCTTAATTTTGATAAGGTTAAGTAGTTTTTATATGTTTGATATTCTTTTGGGAGATAAGAGAGTGAAGAAGTACAGAATTTCCAATAAATGGAGCATAGGCGTGACTTCAACTCTCTACATTCTTTATCAAATCAAGAGCTATTAGCAAATTGATCAGATTGATTTGGTTTGATACTCTGATATTTGTTTTTAGCAACTTATTTATAAGAGACAAAAGAATCTTGTAATTGAATTCAGCTTGAAGATGATCAGTGAACTCTATTAATCTATCCCTACAGTCCAAGATAGTAGACTAATTCAAAATTGTTGAAAGGGATGACCTTACCTGTGGAGACCAAAAGACCCTTGTTGGCAAATCAGGTTCTTGAGTCATAGGTTGTAAACATATGCCATTATCCAGGGCTCTTTATGTAGCAGGAACTCCTTTGCATATTAGGCGACACACCTCTAATGTAGCCAATCCTCCATGAGTTTACAGAGCTCTTCTTACAGGGGCTACTGTAAACTCTTGGAGGATTGGCTTCATTAGGGTTTTGTCCCCTAATATGCAAAGGAGTTCCTGCTACAAAAAGAGCCCTGCTTATCTAACTCAAGTGTAACAAATAAGGGCAAGTGGTTGCTATAAAGCTGTTCCTGAATGGAAAAAAATGCATATGAAGGAACGAAGATTTAAAGAAACCAAAATGTGATTGACTACACTACACCCTCTGGTAGAGATAAAAGTATAATTATCAGCATTACCATAAGCCATTAATCAATTCAGCCAGAGTAAATAAATTTGGGCAGAGATAAAAGTATAATTATCAGCATTACCAGCATTACCATAAGCCATTAATCCATTCACTCAGAGTAAATAAATTTGGGATAATAGTTGTATGTAGTATTGTCCAGCTAAATTAAAAGTATTGTCCCAGAAATATCTATTACCAATGCTAGTAAAAAGTTAAATGTCTCCAGATCAAGGTCGGTCTTAGTAGCAAGAACCTGGACATTGTTGTCCACTCTAACATTAAAATCCCCTGTTACGATAATGTTCCCCTGGGGGAATACTTGGACCAGCTGGTGTTTTGTGGTGTTTGGCTGCCCTTTGTTCCATCATATTTCAGCACCAAGGGGAAGTTTATGGCAGCTGTGGAGATCTTCTCTATCTTGGCTTCTAGTGCTGGGCTCCTAGTTTGTATCTTCTTCCCTAAATGCTACATAATAATACTGAGGCCTGAGGGAAAGTAAGAATATGAGTGCAGTCTAAACTGTGATTTTATTTAAGATATTTACAGAAAGAAACTCAAGGAACATATTTACAGACTCCCCTATGGGGATGAGTAGATCTCTCCTTGGCCATTCACTCCCCCATGAACTCCACTGTCATGTGAAGCTTTTTTCAATATTCATTCCTGATTTGGTTCATGGCCAGGTTTTTGTTGCTTTCCTTTCTAATCTGAATTTCATCAAACAATGTCAACAAGAAATCTGGGTGGAATAATTCATAACAACACAACATTTCTTCAAACTGACCCCAACAAAGGCATCAGAGGAAAGGCCTGAAACATTCCAGTTTTCATCATGCTTCATTCCAACTCCAGAGAGAAGGCAATAACTACAAAGCACCCATCCACCATTTTGCAGTAAACTCCAGCAACAGCTCCTCTTTCCAGTTTCCAATTCATATTGGCAGCAACTGTGCCCCCCCCCCCAATTCTATTCATCATATTTGTGCTGGTATGGTAGCCTTTATGTGTTTCAAATTTTTAGTTGTGATAGACAGATGATAGATAGCTAGATGATAGATAAGCTTCTTTGGCGCGTCGTGTGATCGGCACCTCCCCCCTAACCACGGGACCTCGACGGGACTGTGAGGGGATGCCTGATTGTGCAGTCGCACATTATTTCACTCTGGGGAAAACAACCACGCCTCCCCCCCCCCCGGGATATCCGGCCCCTGTGGCCACAGCCAGGGTTTTCTTACGAAACCCATTAGTACTTAGAAGGGATTCAGACAAGGCTCCTTGCTCCACTACTTTTTATTTTCTATATAAATGACATGGTAAGCCTGTTCAAAGTAGAACACCATCATCCTCCCAAACTGGCCCATCGGCATATTTCAATCTTACTTTATGCTGATGACACTGTTTTACTTTCTAGGACCCCA